AAAATCTCAACACAAAATACTTAACAAATCTGCAACATCTTCCGAACCCTTCGGCCCACATCTTAGCCAATGCAACAAGTCAAACCACCCTTGCGGAGAGGAGACAAATCATTCCTACTAATGGAGTTTTAAACTGTATTACCTATTGTCCGATGTCGAATACAAATGTTTATGTTAATCAAAATTCACTGCTGTTGCTCAAGCACCCATATACGTACGGCGCTTTGAATGGCCATCTGGCTGTAGATGTTGTGTGAGCTGAACTGATGGGTACACCGATGATACTCAGGCCTTACAATACCCAGGCTCTCAAGTTTTTTTTTTTCAATTTAACTAATTTCTTGATTGTGCTTTTATCTGCACCATAATACCGCCTTAAGTGGGGTTGATGCGGCTGTTGCTACCACTTAGGCTAACAGACCCATTGTGTTACCGCTGAGGATCTTGCCTTCACCTTCTCATATGTTCCAGCCATTTCGTGTGCCTGGAAAACGCTACAGTAGTCTAGTACTCTCATGGTCATATTCAATGAGGGCAGGGTAGAACAAATTCTGCAGCCCACCTTTCCATCAAACTTCGAGCATCTGTGACGATGGCTAAACTATTCTCGAAACACATACAGAAGGTGGCACTTCTGTAAGAGATAATATTTTTGTATATCAGTATAGGACATTGAAAATAGTTTCTCCTTGAGAAACTCATACAGATGTGAGTTACAAAGCTGAGTAGCATTCAATCCTATCGCGTTGCATTCTAATTGTAGTTGCTGCTGTTATCAGGATAGCTGACAATCGTTGAACTATCTCTAATTTGCTCTTGAAGGTGATTTTATCGAGTGCCGGCCACCAAACGGTGACGCCGTAGAATAGAATTGGTCTAACTACTGATGCATAAATCCAGTACACGATACTCGGTCTTAGACCCCATCTTTTTTCTTTCGCCGTTTTTCATGTGTAAAGTGCAGTCATAGATTTCTTTGACCTTTCTGTCGTGTTCTGGCTCCAGTTGAGCATGCTGTCGAAGATTATGCCCAGATTCTTTACCTCGGTAGAGAGCGTGAGCTCCATGTCTTTAAGTTTAGGTGGCTTAAAAGGAACATTTCCGTTTGAAACACTATTTGCATATTTGGTTTTAACAACTTTAACGTGTGATTGTTAACCAGTCCATTCTCATGAACTCCTGACTTATGACTGAAGCAGCACATTCTTGGATTCAAGGTTGAGTTTGATGGATATCAAAAAATTGCTCTGTACTTTTCAAACTACGAAATGGTGACCCTTTCACATGGTTTTTTTTTTTTTTTTTTGTAACAATAATAAGCCCAAAAGTTACGCTCTTCGCTTAATCATCACAAAGGTCGTCAATTCCATTTGCCTAGTCATTAAAAAAAAAAAATTTTCCGCGCCGAGTTTTAAAATTGCTTAGTTGCAAACAAACAAATCATCAGCTGAAATATGAAATTATTTAGGCCACTTCAAAAATTTAATGACTTTTTTATTAAGAGTGGTTAATACAGGAATTTTTGTTACGAAAAGTGAGTCTGCCAATTCAAAAGTCCTGGAATAACACTTGAAGTGTTGACGGTGAAATGGTTCATATATCTTAAAATTTTGGTTCAAAATAATGATCTAATTGTCGGAATAATCAGAAGAAAAATCTAAAACTAATTCACAATACTGAAAGGAACTGCATATTAATCCATTTTGAACTTTCAGTAAAAAAATTGCCCCAACTTTTCTCTGTGGCTAGAAAGTGTGGATGGGTGTATACGTTTTGAGCGACTAGTAAACGAGGGATGTTTTTGGCGAAAATCCCATTGTAAAACGAACAAAAAATACTATTTTTGAGCGGAACCAATTTCATCTGAATGGACTTTATAATTGTTACGAATTCGCCTTGCTATAATTTTTCAACTAATAATCGAGCATAAATTTAATGTTGATACAATTGAACTTATTGGAGTCGAATATACTGATAAAGACATCGTGATTTTGATGCAATACAGCTCTGTGCAGTAACAAAACTTTTGGTTCTTACATTTATTTCATACTCTTGTTCTTTACAAAAGCGTATAATTAGCAAAATTCCCAACTTCTAGTAGATGGGGTGTACTACCCTCCTCCGGTTATCACAAAAAAGACGAAATCCTTTTGTCGATCGATGGCTTCTTCCGCTCAAGTTCCTGGTTAAGGATTTTTATTTCTTTGCATTAATGCAAAAAGATGAAAAGTGTTGACGTCGTACCTGTTGACGGTATAAGGTGTAACAATATGCCTGTCCTTTTTGTAAAGAGAGTAAGACGTATCATACAGAAGAAGGACAAAAAAAGTATTTATCATGCCTTCTTGAAATTAACATCCACCGAGAGTGTAATTCTCACTTTGCACAATCTATAGAGAGAGCTCTAGAACAAAAGCAATATCCCACAGGCCTATTTTTGGTAAAACAGCAACAACTTTTTCAAGCCCTACTTGAGCCTACCAAAAGGATGCTATCGTATACAAATAGTTTGCAGAACTGCAGAAAAATGAAAGTAGAATGAAACCAAGCCAACTTGTCAGGGGAAGTGGAACCCTTCGCCGTTGAGATCTGTCATGCTCACTAATAGCTATGAGCTTCTAGCGCTGCTATTTTCCTATTCAGGGAGCCTAGTTTTTATAGTAGCTGGCAAGGTCTTAGATACTATTACAATGTGATGGAGAATGCTCTAATAGTCATACAGATGGACGAGGTCAATGTAGAACCCAGCGTGGTAATCACGCAGACTCGATCGGACGGAATTAGCAATTGACGAATATATGAAGTACCTGGGAGTAATTGTTGATGGCAAGTGTATATGGAAGCTCAATGTGAGGAAGAGTGTGAAAAAGTCATAAAAGCTTTTATATGTCAAAGAGTATATTTTTGTTACTTGGAACGTATCACATACTCCCATATATTTTATATCACATAGTGCAAACCTAATAATGCTCTATGGTGTTTTTTGTAAGTGGAACCCTGCCAGCGAAATCTCACACAGGAAACTGTTGGAGTATAATAAAATTGCTCAGAAACACACCAACAGTTTCCCTTGAAGGTTAACTCAAGCTGCCACCTATCGGTATTACAGGAGAAAGCGTTGAATTCATATCAACTGTAGAATTATTAGCATTAATTCAATATAATAACCTTCGGACAGAGTTTATAAATATTTATTCAAGAAAGTGATGGAAGCAGCAAGGTCGCATATTTCAATGCATTAGCTGGGATATAAGGATTCAAGCCAAGCGAAAAGTCAAGCGAAAAAAGTGCCATCCGTCTGGCTACCCCAGGAATTCAATAAAAAAAAATGCCTAAAACCGATATGGAAATAAATTTCTCAGTTGGATCTGAGTTAAAATGCCTTAAAGGCTTTGACATTATGTGGAATGTAAGCGATAGAAAACACACTCATCTCCAGCATTAAGGAAGGTCATGAGTTAATCGGTGAACATCTCCTCTGCTTTTGCTTTAATAATAATAAAAATATTAACATTCGGCAAGTACAATAATAAATAATATATTGTGTTGACCTCAGAAGTTTATCGACACAGAAGACTCTTCTCTTTACCACACTCAATACTGATGAAAACTAAAGAAATCTCGGAATATATTCGGTCACTGCGAAGATTTTATTGTATTTGAATTAGCCGAATTATTAAACCAAATTTCTTTTTGCACTCTTTCAAACGTGTTTGCATATAAATATGTATCAAATTAGAACATATATAAGTATATACGATTTTATACAAAAATCACCAAAGCCAAAACCATAGCAAAGTCATTGATAATTTTGCAGATTTAACAGATTACTTTTGTGAATTAAACCACATGTGTATGTACATATTATATGACTTTTTTTTTAGATGAAAATAGGTCAGCCTGGGCGTATAATGGACATTTAAGAATTTCATACGAAGTTCAGCAAAAAGTGAATTTATATGCATGATAACAGATGCAGCTTCTATAAAGCTCAAAATATTTTAGATATGAATTTCACATGCTAATAGTAATAAATATGAACAATTGCATACAGTTTAATACATTGGAGTGGCATTTGAACTTGAAAGAATGCATGAATTTTAAGAAAAAATCATTAGATTTTGCTAAACGAATAATTGCTTAAATAAAACCAAAATAAAATTGTGGGAAATTGAGCTTTGATTGAAGATTAAAATAAATTCTTTAAAAAAAAATGTAAATAAATGCTAAAATAAAAATTTCAAATTAAATTATAATGAATTTGGTATAAAATTTATTTTACGTAAATTCAGAAATCTTAGATTTCCTTAATACTATGATATAAAATATATCTATTGTATATATGAATGAGTGGGTGTTTATTTTTAAAGCAAACATTTAAATTCTTTGCAAAAGCTATTTGGAAATTCTAAGGGCAAAATGAAAAATTCCTTAATTTAAGTTCATAAAATTGCTCAGTTTTATTCCTTTTTTTAGGTCAAGTACGTTCAGTGGCATATGTAAGCATATATATTTATCATTTCATACTAAATATATAAGCAAAAAAAGTCAGTCTCAAACTAAAGCAAATACAGTTTTTTCTTTGTTGGCCATTTGTACAGTTATTTGGAAAGCACTCAGGCTTGCCTAACAAGTTTTGGTGTAATCTTTTTGAATAAAACTTCATTTGAACTACCAGAGCTAGAAGTCGTTTTGATTTGACTTTAATATGCTGATAAAATAAATTAAAATAAATTTAAATATCTTTAATAAATGAAGATAAAATTAACAAATAAATCAATAGAAAATATTAACTACTTACACTGACACTAAAAATTTTCTTAATTTCTGTCCCTTAAAGCTCAGTTTTTTTATTAAATTCTCTTGCAATGAATATATAAAATTTTTATTTGTATAAATCTAGAAACATTCTATCCATTGTTATTACAAAAATTATTAAATTTATATTCATGGCTTTCTTCCGAACTTTATAAACAATTATCATCTCTTATCTTACTTACCAATCACATTGAAGGTGTAAGAGAGCGACATTTTGGGCTCAGTATTAATTTGGCATTCATAGATGCCAGAGTCACGTTGTTGTGGATATTTTATTTGAAGTGTCCAATTACCCGAACTTTCCGGGCGTAAAACCTTGTGAAAAAAGAAATAAAAAAAATGTAAACAAAGGTGTTATTCTAATTTGATTTTAATTTTAATTTTAATTTTAATTTTAATTTTAATTTTAATTTTAATTTTAATTTTAATTTTAATTTTAATTTTAATTTTAATTTTAATTTTAATTTTAATTTTAATTTTAATTTTAATTTTAATTTTAATTTTAATTTTAATTTTAATTTTAATTTTAATTTTTATTTTTATTTTTATTTTCATTTTCATTTTAATTGCAGTAAATGAGTTTTCCGGATGTAGCTCACCTGAAATCGTTGATCAGAAGTATAGGTCGTCGATCCAGCTGTCAGTATATGCAAGTCTCGTTTTCGTATCCAGGAGACCTGCAAGAAAAAACAATTGAGTTTTAAATTGAAGCGATTAGCAATAGTTTTGTGAAAAGTTATTATTTTAACTCAAATCTGCAATCATATCCAAAAAATAAATCAACTGCAGGAACTAGTCTTCAACAGTAATAAAAATATTGATATGAGTTAAGTTAGCCGTGTCTGTCTCTCTGTCTTTCCATCCGTCTGTATGAGCAAAACCTAAACTCAATTTCTTAGTTACAATCGAACCAAGTCGGTGAGAAAATGTGTTTTTATATCATATTGATCACATATCGAAGCTGGCCAGATCAGACCACTGGAGCAATTAGCCCACACAGTCGATTTTTTCAGATAAAAGATCATATCAGCATCTTAAAGCCTTGGAGCCGAATATCATGGAAATCGAACCACGGTTTATAAGGCTTTATTGAACTGATTTGTTCAAAACTGTAGTTTAAGGCCATAATTTGAATTTTACATAATTTTATTTTATTTAAGTTGATTTCATTTGTTATTATTTTATTTGATCTAATCTTATATGATTTTTTGTCGCTTTAATTTGCTTTATTCATTTTTAATTTTTTACATATTTTTTTTGTAGTCCATCGGCATAGTCAATTTTGGTATACTCTTTTCAAAATTTCGGCTTCTCACGAATAAATGCATCAATGTTGTCCTCCAATGCGTCGAATGAAGCGAGTTTGTCCGTATAGACATTAGATTCAGGATAGCTCCACAACAAATAGTCTGAAGGCATTAAATTGCACCAACTAGGCAGCCAATAGAACGGTCTCAAACGTGAGATAAAATGTTCACCGAACTCGCCTCTTAATAAGTTCATTGTTACGCGTGCTGTGTGTTGTTGAAACCACATCTCTTGCAAGTCAAGCTTTTGCATTTTGTGGGAAAAGAGTTGGATATTAGCGCTCACCATTCACAGTTACGTTATGAATCGCGTCATCTTTGAAGAAGTACGGTCCAATGATGCACTATTTTACATTATACAATATACCTTTATGTTTTATTTAATTTTACATAATTCAATTTTATTTAATACATTTTATTCAAATTTTCTGTTTTATTTTATTTTACTTTATATTAATTAGTTTAATATATTTTAATTTAATTTTACTTAATTTTGTAACTTTCATTTTTTATTATTTTTAATTATAGTTTAGGCCAAAAGCCTAAATTACCCCTCCTTATGGTACCACCCTAGTGTTTATATTCACCACTACGTTATCTTTCGTTAAATACCACAATACATGAATTACGGTTTTAACATATTGACGGCGTACGTCCTGCAGAACGAATTACCAGCCATCACCCTCATCAAAAAAGCACAGATTAGTGTACAGGTAACCAAATATTCTAACTCAATAAATAGTCTGCAAGTAAGGCATAAAGCTAATCTTGTATTTTCTTTGATTTATTCTCACGCATATAAACATACACCGGTGCGTTCAAATTCGACGCGCGGTGTATCTATTGGTCCTTCGAGCCGGATGGCAGCGCTTATGGGTTTCTAGACGACTAAGCCGTCTTGGAGGGGAGAATGTTTACGCGAGGAGCGTAAATCCTTGCATAACTTTGGGCGCTGGCTAATTGCTTCCTATTATTTTGGTTTTTGCTTTCTGGCATAAATGTATGAATGATTTTGCATTCATGCATATATGCAAGAATTCAATTATCAAATGATCCGCGAAGTGATACGGCTAAAGTGTTCATTGTGTGGAACGGAGTTTACCTTCTAATGGTCCAGAACCATCTAATGGTCCGGCCATCTAATGGTCCAGGTCAGATATCTTGTTATCTGATCTGTTTGCGTCTTCCCATCCATGCTTCTTGAGTAAGCGATTGGCGTCTGCGCAGCGTCAGGTGCCTCCTATGGCATTGGGTAAAGTCCACAACTTTTTGTAACGAGCCTAGTGCTCAACTTTAATACATTTCATATTCTCCCCCACCCGCTTAGACAATTATTTTTAAGTTTTTTATTTGTTTTTAATTATTTTATTTTACTTATATTGATTTTATATTTTCTTAGTCGTTTGTTAAAGATTTTATGATTTTGTATGTAAAATTTTTCTGTTTTTTACAGTTGTTAACTTTTTGTTATTTGGGCAATATTTTTATTTTTATAAATGAAATAAGATCATAAGGTTGAATTCTTTTCTAAATAACATTCCAACTTGGGTTTTGTTTATTTACTACAGACGTATCCTTTCATTATCCATCAAAAGTATTATATGTCAAAAGTAAAGCAAAATAACATTAATTACTTCATCAGCATTGAAGTGTTAAAAAACAGCGCAACAGCGTACAAAAACAATTGCCTTAGTAATCACTTCGCTTTAATTTAATGTCAAAGGTCGCACGAACAAAGAACAGTTTCTTGCAGATCGTCTGTTATATAATTTATAAGCCACTGTTTACATAATGACAACCAGTGACACGACTTCGGTGCCAAAGGCCCATAAAAACTGTGGATTCATGAACAAAGTTGCGAACAAACATTAAATACAATTGAAGTATTATAAATATGCTTAAACCTAACAATGAAAAGTATTGTGCGCAAGGAAAGTAAGTTCGCTTAACATTTTGGCAGTTGAAGTGTCAGGACCGTTGACAAAGCAATAAACACACGGCGAAAAAGGCAATGTAACACGAAGCATAATAAAGCCTTTTAAATACTTCAAAGTGAGACAGACTCGGCTCTCCGCTCCAACTCTTTCAGAAGTTTTTTTCATATTATTTTTTTTTTTTTGGTTTTTGGTTTTTATTTTCGGTTCGAGTTTGATTTTTTGCTGCAAGGTCGTACTGTTGTTCGTTACACAGCCACACAATGTTGCGATGCTTTTGAGACAATAACAACGACAACAATAATTACCGCTACTGTCACTACAATCACGATGTAAAGAGAGCTGAAAGCAAAACACCCACGACAGTGTAGCACTATGGCAGCTGAAATAAAGGTGACCTCACTATGAGGGAGAAGTCAAAATAAAGTAACCCTTCAAGTGTCAAAACAAAACAAACAAATAAGTGAGCAAAAAAAAAAACAGCACAAAGTTTGTATAGAAATATTGGAAAGCTTGTTGTTTTTTCTGTTTCCATTTCAATTGAGGCGGTGACAGCGTACGCTTGAAAAATAAATATGAGCAAATAGAAAAGTAAATAGAGAAAAAATCGCAAAGAAACGCACAAAAAAAGTTATCCTGTTCATGTCAAGCGTTTACGTAACCCAACTCAAACACTTCTTTTAATTTTACTTTTTTTTTAACTTTTTTTCTGTTTTTCTTTTATTTTATCAGTGTTAAAGCTGCTTTCAAACTTTTGCGATATTTTTGGTTTATAAACAATATTAAACTATGTCAAAGACTTTACGAACAAATATTTATAGTACATATATTTTTGCGGTTTTAATTTTTTTTATCTTATTTTCTTTACTTTAAACATTTTTTTGTTTGATTTATAAATCACTTTTCCTCTACTCTGTTTGTTTCCTATAATTTTCACCCCTCGGAAGTTGTTTTTGGCTTTGAAACCTGTGTGTGTTTAAGCCTTTTGAAACAATCCCTAAATCACACAAATAACAATAGCAACACACAATCCATTATATAGAATAACAGAGAATTCAAATTATGATAAACGCTGGCAGCAAGGGAGTGTGTCTACATAGCACTTACACACACACGAGTACATGTGCACTAAAAAAATTTATCAGAAACATAAATTTTGGTTACTTTGTTTTTATCGATTTTTCCGCAAATAAAGAATATTTAAGACACTGCGAGAAAATTCCATTGAAATAAACTTTGGGGATTTTTAAAGTTCCACAGATGAGTTGTATTTCAGTTATTAAATTAATATTTATGTATGTATTATGTATAACAAAATAATATTAAAGGAAAAATTTCTAATTGAAAATATTTTAATTTGAAATGAAAATTGTGTATTTTAAAACTTTCTGAACGAAAATAAAATTCTAAAATATTTGCACTCCTTTATGAAAAATCGGTCGCATATTGCAGGGGCAATGCAGCAGCTCTGTCAAACTCAAAGCAACTGGCAGTCGCAATATGGTAACATCGTACAAGTTCTAATCAGTCTGTTGATCTGTGAATCTTCTTACGAAAACAGACTAGTCTTTACGTTAATCTTGGACAAAACTTACCAAAGTACGGAATTTCAAGCAAATCTTTCTTCAGATATTTAATATATATAAAAGCTCTACGTACATTTACATAGTCATAAAGGTGCTTTAGTTCAAAAAAAAAAAACAAACGAAAAATTAATTAAAAAAAACTTCAATAATAAATTATTGTTTCGTTCTCCGATCCGCAGAAAAAAGAATCACAAGTGGAACCAAAAGAGCAATCTTTTCGAACATAAATTCTTAAAGAAAAATTATTGCTCCTGGCAATCCGAAACAAAAAGTTACCGGCATACCCGATGTCAAGCAAATGCATTATAAATACCATTTTCTTGAATATGTTTGTCCCTGGTCCACTTCCCGGCTGTTTGTAATCTTTTCACCACGCAAAGAACTTCCACAAATATCTTGCGACAAAATAAGTGAATTTGTACAATTCAATGAGCTTGTCATTATGTCCCTCACATAGAAACCCTCGTACGTAATGGCAAAAATTTGGGACAATCGATGCGCAGACTTCTCTTGAGGCCAATTCTTCATCCTACAAATAGTTTTCAATAGACAGAAGCAGATTATAATCGCTTGGTCGAGGTCCGGTCTATAAGGTAGTACCACCCAACTAAGCTTTCGGTGCTTCTCGATGTGAGTGGATCTGTTAATTCCTCATGAAAAACAATTCCATTTCTCTTAGTTAAAACTGGGCACTTCTGGGCTATAACTTTCTTCACATAGTCCAATTTCTGAAAGTGCATATCCATGTTAAAAAATGGGCCGGAAGTTAGCAGTTCATAACGCCAATTTTATCACACACGCAAAAAACTTCTCGGAGTCCTTCGATCATGACAGCTTTCTGTAGACGCCG